TTTGTCCCACTACTTGAAAAGTAGGGACAGTCCTATGGAGCCACGTAGAGCAGAGGTCAGGCGACATCTGGGTCAACAAAGCGGTGCAGACTCCACTAACAGGAGAAACGTTGGTTTCTGACCATTCCCACCGACATAAGACAGCACACACTTACAAGCACTATTCTGAATGAGGTTTAGTTCAAGCCTTTTATTAAATGTTATCTGACTGATCCCTCAAATACTTGAAAACCTTTTAATGACTTTCCGAATTACTCAGAGAAAAACCAAAACTTTTAGGTCTATTTCTTTCTCAGATTTCCTCCTTTCCCCCATTCTCCTCCACCTGAGACTGTTCACACAAGCTCCTGACTCTGGACAGTTAATTCTTTGCTCAAATCTGCCCGTCTTGGGTCCTCTGGAAGAGCAGCAAGTGCTCTCAAGCCCTCTGTGCCTCGGGTCCTCTCCAATGAGCTTCACCTGGTCACATTAGCGGAGGACCAAGCCTCATAGTCTCAATCCTGTTTTCACGGAGGCAGACATCATCTTCTAAACTGCCTCAAAAGTAGTAGAATGTACAAAAACCTAAGTAGAAAACAGTATGCAGAGGGTCCAGAAACCTGCAGAAGCACAAAAGCCCCAGAACAGCACACGCTTGAGCACACTGGGCGCAGTGCTGAACGCAAGAGAGGGCGTGAGGATGGAAACAGGAGTCTCGGGAATAACCACGCAGAGGAGTTCTGATGTGATTGCTCGGTTGTTTTAGGAAAGCAACTCTGGTAACTACTGGACAGAGACCTGCAGTGGAGGCTGGAAAAAGGAAAATGGATGGAAGAATTCCAAATGCTTCAGACACAACAGCCAGGAGATGGACGAAGGATGGGCAGGAAAAAAACAGAAATGCTAGGACAGATTCAAAATGAGGGTTTTCAGTTTTGTTTGCAGGCAAACGTTGGCAGGTGTTAGCTACTAAAGCTGAAAACTTGAACACCTTACACAGGTACCTCTGGCCCGCGTTGCAGAAGGTAGGAAAGAAGGACCTGAAGCTATTCCAGGCTGAAAATGTGCTAACAAACGGTCCAGTCATCAAGACTCAAGATACAAAGATACAGAAGACTTGGGGCACAATAGGAAAACATCTGATTTCACAGAAGTCAAAATATGTTGATGGGTTGACAAGTGGATAAAGAAAATGTCCATGCATACAACGGGAGGCTACTCAGCCTTTAAACGGCTGGGGCTGCGCTAGCTCTGACTGTGCAGCCTGCAATCTCAGCACTCAGAGAGCAGAAGCAAGCGGATCATGGGGTAGAGAACAGCCTGGGCCATATAAACTTCTAGTCTGGGCAGCACAGTAAGATTCTGCCTCGAATACCAAATATAAATAAATAATGGCAAAAAGAAATGCTATCATCTGTGACATGGATAAACACATGTGCTCACTTATACTGGAAACCGGGAAAGCAGCCCTTATAGCAAAGTAACAATATAACGATTAGCACAGGCTCGGCACAGCAAGTTAGAGAAAAGTTTAAGAATATTCCATACATCTTCATTTCATTTCTCATAAAATGATGTAATATGTAGATTTCACTTTGGAAAACATGCAGAATATGAGGCTCTTCATTTTAGTAAGTATTTGAACACAAACAAGAATTGATTTGGGGGCTGGGAAATGAATCAGTGGGTAAGAAAGTTTGCTCTGCATGATCAAGACCTCAGTTTAAATCTCCAGTGTCCACTGAAAAAAGCACATGTCTGTGACCCCAGCATTGAGGGGCAGACACAAGCACATCCTAGGAGCTCACTGGCCTGTCAATCTACCAAAACAGCGAGTCTCTGGCTCAGTGTGACACCCCATGTTCAGTTCTGGCTTCTGCGTGTGTACATGAGTGCACACTCACACATGCACAACACGCAGGCTGTGAAGTCACAGGCATATGCCACCAAACCTAGCTAAAAGTCATGACTTAAATCTTGCTATTTTGTGATTGGACGTTTAGAAAGATGGTGCAGTGGTTTGAGCGAAGATGGCACCCACAGGCCCCTATGTTTGGTACCCAGTGGTACCCAGTGGTGGAACTGTCTGGGGAAAATCAAGGGGTGTGGCCCTGTTGAGACAGGTGTGACGTTATTGGAGGTATATCATTGGGGTAGGCTTTGAGGTTTTAAAAGTACCTGCCAGGATCTCTTGAGTCTAAATCTCTGTCCTCCTCCCCTCCCTCCCTCCCTCCCTGACACCACCTGCTGTCTATGGACCAGAATGGAAAGCTCTGGGCTACTACTCTGGCACCATGTCTACCTGCTTCCGACCACAGTAGCCACTGACCAACCCCGCCCCCATTAAATGTTTTCTTTTATAAGAGTTGCCTTGGTCATGGTGTCTCTTCACAACAACAGAACAATAACTTGGAAAAGTCAATATAGAATTGTGTATAATAGCATGATTTAAGTAACCAAAGCTAGGCATGGTACCTCACACCTATGATCACAGCACTCTGGATGCACAGACATGAGTTCTTACGGGAGTTCTAGACCAGTCAGCTCTACACAGTGAGTTCCAGGACAACCTGAGCTACATATCGAGAGCTCTCAGAAAACTAAACTAATACTGTGCTGGCTAGTCTACGTCAACTCCACACACAAGGTAGAAGGTAGAGTCACCTGGGAAGAAGGAACCACAATAGAGAAAACACACCCCCTCCCAACACACACACACACACACACACACACACACACACACACACACACCAGTTTCGCCTGTGGGCAAGCCTGTGGTGGATTTTCTTGATTAATGACTGTAGGTGTGCCACCCCTGTGCTGGTGGTCCTGGGTGCTGTAAGAAAGGGTGAACAAGCCACAGAGAGTAACTCAGTAAGCAATGTTCCTTAATGGCTTCTGCTTTTGTTTCTGCCTTGAGTGTTCTGACCCTGACTTCCCTAGAAAATGAACGAAAAGCTGTTAAGATGAAATAAACTCTTTCCTCCCAGGTTGCTTTGGAACTCAGTGTGTTACCACAGCAACAGAAACCATAACTAAGACACCAAACAAACAAACAAACAACTCCTATAATACTCTGTTCATATAGGACACTTACTACTTTATCATATTTTGTAGTAAAAGCGTAGGACATGGGGCCAGGAGCTGGCTCAGCAGTGAGGAACATTGTTTACTCTTGTAGAGGACCCAGGTCCAGTTCTCAGCACCCACATGGTAGTCTAAATCATTTGTAGCGCTAATTCTAGGGTATCCAATACCCTCTTTCTGACTCCACAGGGATGGTCTCCACATGGTACAGAGATATATAAGCAGGCAAAATACTCATAAACATAAAACAAAACACAACAGAAACAGAATTAAGGAAGGAAAAGTAGGATATTTAAAATGACGTTGTAGGTGGAAGGTGGGGCAGGACTTCAGCATGGTGCCCCATCCTGACACCAAACTTGCAATCTCCTGCTTTAGCCTGGCAGGGGATTAGAATAATAGTCGTCACCACGTCCTCGCAGGTGATCAGAATAATGGTTGTCACCACATCTGGCCCACGTTTACTTTTTTAAAAATCTAAATTTTCTTTTTAAAATAGAAGTGATAGTGCAGACAGATGATGAGTGTCATTCAAAATGGACTTAGAAGTTCTCTTAGATTTTAGATTTCAGATAAAAAAAGCTTTTATGCATCAAAAGACTATCAACACCTTTGGTTCTGGGATAATCTCTTTGTATATTATTTGAAGATCCATCTCTGTTTACCTCACCTGCCAAAGGCACCTTCTGATTCGGTTAATAAAGAGCTGAGTGGCCAATAATTAGACAGAAGAGAATAGGCGGGACTTCCAGGGAGAGACAGGAACTCTGGGAAAGAGTCTGAGATGGGAAATTCGCCAGCCAGATGCAGAGGAAGTTGGATGTATGGTACTGAGGAGAGGTAATGGGCCACATGACAAAATGAAGATTAACATAAACAGGTTAATTTAAGCTGTAAAACAAGCCTACGCTAAGGTCAAGCTTTTATAATTAATAAAAAGTCTCCGTGTCATTATTCAGAAGCTGACAGTCCAAACAATCCCCTGCTACACCTTGGTGCTGGAGAGACAGCTCAGCAGTTAAGAACAAGCATTGCTCTGGCAGAGGACTCAAATTCTGTTCCCAGCAGCCACATGGTAGCTAGCAACCATCCATAAGGATCTGACGCCCTCTTGTGGCGTCTGTGTGCATTACATGCACATGGTGCAGACATACATGTAGGCTACAGATACATAAAATAAAAAATAAATCATGAAAAGTATCCTGCAGAAGGAAACATTTATAAACCACACCACTGGACATGCTTGCTACTGAGAATGCACAAGTAACTCCCACAACTAATCACCAACAAGATAAACAGATCCTAATGGATGAGAGTGTGAATGGACTTTTCCCCAAAGAAGATAAATAAATGCTAAGTATCATGTAAAGGGATGCCTGGCACTGGCACCACTGCCCCTGGGAAATCACCAGTGTGCATGAGGCGGTGATGCCACCTAACACACCAGGACGGCAGGCTTCCACTCTCCTGAAAATGTTCTGGAGGCGGATGGTGTTGGTGGTCATACAACAGCATAAATATTCTTAATGTCACAGAATTGTACATTTTGAAAGTTTTATGCTATGTATAAGTAAAAACGCACCTGTGGGCTGAGATTTCTCAGTGGGTGGAGCACTTCCCTGAGCGGAAAGACCAGAGTTCAGACCTCAGCACCCACGTGAGTGGCAGCTGCATGTAAGGCCAAGCAGGCAGAGACTCAGGGGGGACAAGGGGCCTGGAGCAGCTCACTAGCAAGATCAGCCTAAGTTAGTAAAGTAGAGAGCAACGGAGGAAAACATTCAACTTCACCCTCTGGCCTCCAGATGAACTCCCCCCCCCCCCCCCAGAAGTCCTCTGAGACGGATGAAGTATTGAAAACAGAACCGCAGTCACCGGAAGGCAGATATACAAACGCGGTGGTTCTGGTGCGGGCGGCGGGAGCGGCCACAGTGTACCTGGATTTCAAGCTCGGCGATCTGCTGCCTCAGTTCTGCCACGGCGGCTATGCTGTCAGCTTCCCGGAGCCTCAGAGCCATGACTTCCTCCTTGTTCTACAGCAACAAGAAAACAGAGACAACCTGGCTGAATCTGGAACTGAGATTTTTTTCTGACTATACAAACTATTAAGGGCATAAACTGATATTCGTAGGATGTGGCAGGGTCTGAGTCGGTATCTGCACTGCAGCAGTCAGGCATAAACATCCCCGTCCCAGGGGACAACAACTTGTAAGAGGCCACCTACTGGTTCAAGTCAAATGTTGCCTTCAAGTGAACCTGCGTGAAGTTTATGAAAATCTTTCGGGATTCAAAGTGTTGGGGACTGAAATGGGGGATTATAGGCTTGTGCTATTTTAAGTGAGAATATTCAAACTCATTTATAGAGTAAAAATGTTGATAATACAGATACTATTCAGATACTTATATATGAAAAATAAAATGAGCTTTAAAGGTTACTCACCAACAAATCATAAGCTTTAATCATATAAAACATAATGAAAATGAATCTAATTTATGTAATAAGGGACTTGCTTCTCGGAGAAGTTATAGTTGTTACTGAATTGTACTCTAAGCGGGAAGTGTGACAGGCTCTAGGCGCCAGAGTAACAATAAGTGCACTAATATTAATCACCAGGATCTGCGAAGGCAGTGAAGACGGCTGAGTTAGTGCAGGGGCACATCAGAGTGAGGGTCCTGGACACACTTCTAGGGTACTGAGGGAAATCCTGTGCCAGCCTGCCCAGTCCTCCACTGCTCCGAGTCCTTACCCATTACTGAGACAAACTCAAAACATGTATCTTCATGGCCAAGTTCCACAAATACTTCCAAAGAACATTTCATTTTGCTAACAGGTGCCACGATAATATTAAATTCAGAAATACTATTATCAAAATGTCTAAAGAAAGCTGGCACTGATCTAGAAAAGATTACACTAGTTCTCTATTGAAGACAAATCACAGGGCAGTGTGGCATCAAAACGTCCATCAGCATCAGGGTGACAAGGCACGGTACAACTCACTGCGCCACCACTGCTTGTGCAGCCTTTGATACAACTTTATGGTTAAATTAGTCCAGTTGTACCTTTTTAAAGGGTCAGTTCTTGAGCTAACAATTGTCAGTATTGCCTACAGATTTCTTCAGTCTGAACTCTAACAACCATGAATATTTATCAGGATGTAATTTCATCTCTGGATCTCAGTGACACAGATAACCACTCCAGCTTCACTCCTGGTTTTTAATAACACCAGAACAAGTTGATGGAATTACAGCTTTGTGTGTGCCGCTGAAAGTCTCATTTCTCATAAAATAGTAAGCTGGGATGCATTGAGGGCACTGCGACTCTTAAAGGAGCTGTGCTGATGGAGTAATAGTTCCTCTTAAAATGCCGCACCCTCCCCAGAAATCAGCTCTAAAGCTCGGACGACATGCATCTCTTCAGCTATTCTCGTATTTATGTATGTCTATCCATACTCCTCTGCCTGATGCTCCAGCCCTGACCCCCCATTAGCTAAAGCTGCTATAAGCCTTTTCATAAAAAATTCAATTTATTTCAAATACTTATAGTTCTTTTTGAACAAAAAGCTTCATATAAACAAAAACCAATTAACAGATGGAAATTGTATACATTTTTCTTAATCTACCTGTGCATACCCATTTCTGTTTCTGTTACCCAGAAAGCACTGCAACACTGACTGCCTGCTAACACGGCGAGAATCAAGTAGGGAGCATCAGACCCCCCACCACCTGCATTTTCAGGTAAGCCATCACAGCTGGGTTCTAAAGACACACTAGTCGATAGAGACACCAATGTAAGACATTAACTTAACCAAGTCTACGGTTAAAAATGAGGTTTCTTCTCTGCAATTCACCCTATGAACAAAATGAGTGAACCTTGTCTGAAAATTTAATCTTGGTGTGGTACATGCTTTGGATCCCAGCAATGGGAGGCAAAGCCAAAGGAATCAATGAGACTTTGAGGCCAGTTTAGTCCACATAGCAAGCTCCAGGCTAGCCAAGGCCATATATTGAGAGGCTGTCTCAAAAAGACAGTATATAATCGCGATAAATAAATCTATAAAAGGGAGCATTAAACTGACACTTACCTTGCATTCAATCTCTGCCTGTCTGCGCTTTGCCTCACTTAACTGGGTAAGCAACCCTTTGTTCTTCACAGAAAGAGAATGCACCTTCTCCTGCAAACTGGTGACCTCTTGCTCTGCTCTTCGAAGCTGGTTACTGTTGATCTGGTTCTAATGAGAAATATAAATAGACTCACTATAGGTAAAAGACTGGAAATTTTTAATTAATTTTTAACCTGTAAATCTTACACTTAAACAATCTTATAAAATGTTTTTTAAATGTTTATTAAAAATGGAAAAAGATATGAAACAAATCTTTAGTCAAGTGTGTAGCACATGTATCCATACTAGGGAGGCTGAGGAAGAAGTACCAGTAAGAGTTTAAGGACAACCTGGGGGCTACTCTGTGAACCTGACAGCCCATACTAACAGCAAGACCCTGTCTCAAAAAAAAAAAAATCTTTAAAACAAAAACATTGAATTCTCCAAAAGAATATTAAAACTTCTTAATCAACATACCAGAAAGGCACGGTGGCATACATCTGCAATCTCAGTGTTTGGAAGGTAGAGGCAGGAGAACCTGGAGTTCTAGGCTACCTTTGTTCATGTAATACAGAGTTTGAGATTAGCCTGGACTACATGAGACCCTGCTTCTAAACACTAGAAATAAACACTTAAATAAACAAAAATATAACCTAAATATACCACTTATGCAAAAAACCTGTAAACTATGAGGACCTTCACAAACAACCGAGAGACAATTATTTCTGTAAGCCTGGGGAAAGATACGGGAGACAAGAGCATAAACTGAACTGTGAGCCCTCTCACTTCACCAATGAGTCAGGTGTTCTCTGATCTTGGGCAAGTTATTTAATCCTAACAAATCTCAGTATTCTGGAAAAATAGGCTTGCCTTTCGGCTGTGTCAGGAAGACTGTGAGGAGGGCACACGCACGGGGACTGAAGAAAGAAGTTTGCAGGCGCAGTGAATGCTCAGTTGGCACTGTCCTTTGACTCATTCTGCCTCGTTCTATGAAAAATAAAAAAATAGTTCTATAAAAAAATTTAAATCTCTGGTTTTAATGGGAAAGTAGATATAGTTTAAAAATTCCTCAATAAGAAAATTATATAAGGACTTTACATAAAATAAATACTTAAAATTATTAAAGATACAAAAAATGGAAAAAATAAGAAGAGCCGGGCATAGTGGTGCACGCCTTTAATCCCAGCACCTCGAAGGCAGATCTCGGTGAGTTTGAGGCCAGCCTGGTCTAAAAAGCAGGCTCCAGGACAGCCAGGGATACACAAAGAAACACTATCTTGAAAAATCAAAAAAGGACTAGTTCTGTAAGGCTGCTGTAATCCTGGCTAGTCAGTGCACTAAGCACCTCGGTGGTACAGCACTGACTATCTGGGTGTGAGCTCCAGTGCTATAACACATAAACAAAACACACAGGTGTGAATACACAGCTCAAGGAGCACAGTTAATCCAAGGACGACAGAGGCAAACACATCCTCACCAAGATGCGTTAGAACAATACTCAGCAGGCTGAAGAAACAGGCAAGTCAAGGAAAACAGAGTCCATATGAAGGGAAGATAATGAAGGCATTTTACCAGCCAACATATAAAAAAAATTTTTTCAGTCTACAAGAGTTTACTCAATTAAGTGCTCATCTAAGAGCACAGGCACTTCAGGAGCCATGGGTTACAGTTCTGCCATGGCCAAGGCCAAGAACCAAACCACACATAACCAATTCCAAAAATGGCACAAGAAATGGCACCAAGAAAACCCGGTCACAAAGACACAAATCTCTCTCTCAAGGGGGTCAACCCCCAAATTCCTGAGGAACATACGTTTAACCAAGAAGCACAAGAAAGGCCTGAAGAAGACACAGGCAAGCAATGCAAAGGCAATGAGTGTGTGCAGAAGCCATCAAGAGTCTGTCAACCCAAGGTGGCCCAGCCCAAGATGCCAAATGGCCCCGGTCACACACTCGGCCATCTTGCTTTCCTTGCTCACCCCAGGCTTGGGAACTGGATTAGAAGCTACCTGGTCAAGAGTCGTAGGCTCTGCCAGTCAAAGCTCAAGGATTAAACCAAGGTCCAGGCCTCAGCTCCAGTAGTGCCCAGGCCCTTGTGAAGGCCCCTATGAAAGGTTTCTGTCTGCAGCGTGAAGGCAGATGGGCTGGTGTCACACACCCACACGCTAAGTTAGGTGATCAGGGCCCTATGCTGTTTTACAAATAAACTTGAGGCAAGATCTGTTTTTTTTAAAAAAAAAAAAGAGCAAAGGCAAACTCAATGTAAAAAGTGAAAGGGAGTCAAGTACAGTGACATGAGAACCATAATCCCAGCTATCTGGATGGATCCTGAGTACAGTGACATCAGAACCATAATCCCAGCTATCTGGATGGATCCTGAGTACAGTGACATCAGAACCATAATCCCAGCTATCTGGATGGATCCTGAGTACAGTGACATCAGAACTATAATCCCAGCTATCTGGATGGATCCTGAGTACAGTGACATCAGAACCATAATCCCAGCTATCTGGATGGATCCTGAGTTTGAGACCAGCCTGGGTAATAAAGCAAGACAGAGAAGAAAGAAAAAAGAGGGGAAGAGAGACAAGAGGGCAGGACGGGAAGGAGGACACGGCAGTTACAGACTGGAGTCAAGCGAGTGCCAGCCCTGTGGCGGCAGCAGTGGCTGACAACCTGGAGGCACAGGCCACGTCCACAGAATAAGGTGGGGTATGGGACAACACGGATGTTCTTCCGAGGAAGGGCCTGGAGCTTAAAGTAGAGATATAGTCACTGCCTTTAGAATTTGTTTAGTCAGGCAAGTGTTTCCAATTTTTCAGGAAATAAACATTAATAATTATAAATAATTAAAAGAAAATAATCACAGGGCTGCAGAGATGGCTCAGCAGGTAGATCTCTGGCTGCTCTTCCAGAGGACCTGGGTTTAATTCCCAGCACCCACATGGCAGCTCAAAACTGTCTATAAATCCAGGATCCAACACCCTCACACAGACACATATACAGAAAAAACACCTATAAAAAATAAAAAAGTAAATTAATTAAAAAAAATAATTCTAAAAGTCAAACTAATATAGAGAAAGTGAAAGAAAAATTAAAAACAGGAAAGAAGGAAAAGATTAATTTGGGACAGAAACAGAAGGTACAAACCAACAAATCACGAGGACTCTTGAGTGGGATCAAAAGAGCTAGAATGCCGCTTCCAACCTTCTGACCAAATAAGGGGGGCGGGGACCAAGACTGAACTCTGGGTTCTGACCAGAAGCCTCCTTGGGAAGAGGGGAGGGAGGGATTTAAGCCCTTCTTACCAAGGCAGAAGCAGCCATACTGCAGAGAAAACTCAGTTAGAATAAACATCAGACTAACAGAGGCCAAGTGTTGGGCGTAGAGAGTCACAAGTTCCTTTATGCACTCTTGTCATAAACCCCAGCAGGCACACACAAAGTTGGAGAGCCTTAGGATACACCCACAGCATGGGCTGGACGGAACCGGGAGAAGCACTAACTTTACCATCTCTTCCATGGAAGGAAAGCTTTACCTGGCATGGGACCAGCACACACTGCTGCCTCTGGGGTTATACAACACAATCTGGGAGAAGAGGCAGAAATATGTTCTGGACCAAGTACTGCAGCCACTGGCGGGCAGAAGCATTAGAAGGCCCAACACCTCTGATAGGAAAGCAAACTGGAGACTAAGGCTTTATTGGAAAATGGGAAACAGCCTTCCAACTCCCACATCAGCAACAGAGCGGCACTGCTGGAGACACTCCCAATTCCAGGGGGTGATGCAGACTGAAGACACCAAGTTTCTGAGAACAGCCCTCTGGGAAACCAATCCTCATTCTGAAAATGAGGTATGGCCACAGGGATTTAAGCCCGGTGGCGCAGTGTATATAACCACAGAGCAAACCTCAACTCAGCACGTCTGACTGTATAAATTCAAATCTGCCACATGAAAGGCCTGGCAGGAGGAAATGTGTACCCATTTCTAGGCACAAAAACTGCTAACCTTAGGTACTCCCTATACAAGACCCTTCCATGTGCTACAGAGAACGTTTTTCTGTTGTGTATTTGCTGGGGCATGTGATGAAAACGTGTGCACAGCCCACACATCTGACAGCTCAGCTGTCCATTGTTCAGGTTTCAAAGGTTCCCTAAACCATGTCAGGAATTTGACTCACCCCCCCATATATATGCACACATACAAATATACATATATGTATATACATTTTGATCATAAAAATAAAACTTCCCACTATAAAATCTGATTTTTACTTTTCATAATTTTAGCCCCTTCCTTATTTTTTAATTTCAATGAAACTTTTTGAGGAAGTAACTGAGTGCTATGAAACAAGGCACGTCCACCCTGAGACACTGCATGTCCCAGAGGCCTGCCTGACACGGGCTGACCACATCTGTTCACTAGAACACAGAACGAGGCATGAGTAAACTACGCCCCCTACTGGCTGGAAAAAAACTCTGAAAATCAGCAGAATGCTTGTTCCCCTTCCCTATGTATCCACAAATTCAAACTGCTAATGACCGAAAAATTTTTAAATTGTATCTGTACTGCACATGTGCACACTTTTCTTGTTATTATTGCGTAAATAATACAGTGTAGCCATTACTTCTGTTCTTCTGTGCTACATTAGGCGTTGTACCTAGGGATGGTTTGAAGTATACTGGTGAATGGACACGGGTTACACACAAATAATAAACCATTTTATTTAAGGACATGGGTATCTGAAGATTTCAGTATCAGCAGGGATTCTACAGTCTGCAGCATGGAGCCACAGGACAACTTTACATGAAATACAACTCTGACAAATGTCATTTATAAAAGCCAAGTTCACCTTTACAGAGCAAACAAGCGTTATTAGCAAAACAATCCACACATCTCAGGCCCAACACATCTAAGACGGAGACGTGACACAGAGAGATCTGAGGAGATGGGTTTGGACTTGAACTTTAAACTTAGTACCCAGGATCACATCATGTAAGTTGAAAAGGTAAATGCCCACTACCGCTGACACTGCGATTCTCTACTGGAGACGTATGGACACAGCTTCAGTTACTAAAGGGAAGAAAGACGTCTGCAGGGCCGGGCAGGGTGCTGAACACCCCATGATGCACAGACTAGTTACAGAAAACAAAATTCCTGTAAAGGGAGACATTTCCCAGCCACCCAGACCCGAATAATCACAGAAAAACTGAATTAATTATAACACTGTTTGGCCAAAGGCTCAGGCATATTCCTAGCTAGCTCTAATATCTTAAATTAGCTCATTTCTATTGTTTTATATTTTACCACAAGGCTCGTGGTTTGTTACGTCAAATCTTGCTTCCTGGGAGGCTACGTGGCAACTGCCCGACTCCGCCTTCTTTCTCTCAGCATTCAGTTTAGTTTTCCCACCTAGCTATATTCTGCCCTGCCATAGGCCAAAGCAGCTTCTTTATTAACCATTGGTAATAAAACAGTCACAGCATATAGAAGGGAATTCCACATCAAATTTCTAGCTCAAAAATTACATATTCTGGTTGAGGAACTTGGCTCTACATAATGTCCCTTCTTAATTTGTGCAGTAAGGCAACCCTAATAAAACCAAATGCAGTCCGGCTTGCTTAAATTTTGTTGAAGGGTCAAGCAGAGATTAAATTTATGGGGGAAAAAGGTGTTATGTTTATAATCCCAGTACTGGCCACTAGTTTGAAGCTAATCCAGGCTACAGAGTGAGTAACAAGCCAACTGTAGCATGAATTCTAAACCTGGAGTCAGCTATTAGGGGGTGAAAGCTGAGAGGTCAGAGAAGCAGTGAAGCCAGCCACTAGAGAGACCTTTTACCTCTACCAAATCCTCAGACCAAAAGGGCGAGCCTGTCCTCAGACGACCTCCCCAGACTGCATCCACTGACAATTTCACTGACACCTCGGACTGCATCTGCGCTCCTGCCTCCTCCTGCCTCCTCCTGCCTTATATTCCTCTCTCCACCGGTCTCCACCTCCCCAGTGCTGGAATTGCCTTTGTGTGAGCTCTGTTTCTCTTTCAGACTGGATCAGTTTCTCGTAGCCCAGGGTGGCCTTGAACTAACAGAGATGCATCTGTCCTTTTCTCCAGAGTCCTGGGATTAAAGGTGTGAGTCACCACTGCCTGGCCTCTAGTGGCTTGGTTCCGCACTCTATCTTAGGGCAGGCTTTATTTGTTAAAACACAAAATATCATTACAGTCTGCCAGCAATATTGCACACCCTGTCTCAAAAAACAAAGCTAAAACAAAACAGGGCTGGGGCAAAGGCTGTTGGCAAGAGTGCCTGATGCACCAGCATGGAGACCTGAGTTCAGATCGTCAGCTCTCGTGTAAAAGGCAGGCTCACCTGGGGTAGACACAGGCAGGAGGATTACTGGAGCTTGCTTCATTGTAAAACATGCTAAGTTGCCGGTGTTCCCGGGTCAGTGACAGACCCTAGCTCACGAGAATAAGGACAGGGGGCAGCAGTGACTTTTAGCTTTCTACATGAGAACCAGAAAACTGCTGTCTGGACTTCATCTTTTACCTTAATTCTAAGGATGAGACAATGTTAAATTTTTTGCTCATTTGCCACCCTCTAAACACAACAGCATAAAATTTAAATTTCCCATTTAAAGCCTAGATCTTCACTCTTCATAACTTTATGGTATCTCTTCAATGTTATTTTTAGTTACATAAGAATTCTGAACAAACAGCTGTCAGACTCTGACCCACGCTGCTTTCACCTGGGCCTGCCCGTCATACCTGCGTCTCCATCTCCATCATCCTCTGCTTCATTTCTCTTATTTCTGCCTGGGTTTCTGCTTCTCTGAGGCGGATGCTCATCAGCTCATCCTGTAACTCATTCACAGTGTTCTTCTTGGGCGGGTCTTTCCATCTTCCAGAAGTTCGGGCTAAATGACGCTACAGCATACAACATTACACTTTATCAAAACAAGAGTTAACTTTACAGAGCACATATTTAAGCACTGCCCCAAATCATTTTACTTGTTTGAGAGAAGCTTTTGGTTTGTACTCCTGGCAGACTCTGGGCTTAGGGTTTTCCCGCCTCAGCCTAAGTGTTGGGATCCAAAAACAAATCACCATGCCCAGCTTAACTACAGTTTGTTACAGCTGGGTACTTGTCAATACATTTTCAAAAGCCATGACAATATCAAGGAATAACTTCTTTTGTTCTTTTAAAATTACATTATATTCATTCACTGGTTCCACGGCACTCAGAGAACAGCCGGCATGAGTCAGTTCTCTCCCACCTTTGCGAGTGCAGAAGATCCAATTCAGATTCGCAGCCTTGGCTCTGTGCCTTGCAGCAGGTGTCCCCTCCATTGACTGATCTCAGTCTTTACTAGATGTCTCTTCCCACCCTCAGTTTAAACCAAGATCACCACTCTGAAACTATATTGTTTTTAAAAATTCATTCTCTTCTGTCTTTCACGTTGTTACAGTCTGTTATCAAATTTCCCTTACAAGAAGATACATTCGTGAGAAGATACCTAAAGTGTCATTTATTTTTGTGAAAGGCATTTTCAAAGAAGTTAGAAATTTACAAATACACACTGGTGTCCTCCTTCAGCTGTTTCCGTCTTCCCAACAATGTAACTTGATAGCAAAGCAAACTGTGTTTGCTAACTGAACAGAATACCAAACTGACCTCTGAGCTCCACCTCTACACCACAGGTTGTCTTTGTGCAGTTGGCAACAACTGACACAAACACTGACAACTGATCAAAGTGACGGAGTGCGCAGTCATAAAAGAGACACCTGTGTCAAGCCCCTCTCACCGAGGCTCACGGAGCTGGGGGGTGGGGAAGCCCAGGACTGAACAGTGTCCTCTGGACATGACAGGACCACTAGACTCATGAACCCCCAGCTGAGGTTGCCTGCACAAACCCTGTAGAAAATCAAGCCAGTCCACATTCCAGCCTGAAGGGGCAGGCTCTGGAGCTCCCACAACAGCTATGAGCTACTGACAGCTGTTCCTGGATAAGGGAGAATCACTTTTCTTTAACAATGCAGCCCTGGTAGACCAATCGTGCTCAAATGGATGGTCCCACTCCCGTGAGTATGTGGCAGCACGAACTGGACGAGTGAGTCTAAAGGAAACAAATGAGGGTGTGAAGCTGGGAGGGAAGTAAATGTTATGTCTTGGAGGATCTGGAGGAGGCACCAAGATGAATATGGTCAGAATACACTGCATACATGTATGACCTTCTCAAAGAATAAAAATATTATTCTTAATGAAAAAGAAAAGTTTTATACTGTGTAAGTTTTGTACTATTTATAGTTCTCTAGGAAACTCGAACAATGCAAAAGTTCAATATGATCTTGTTTACAGTTTATGTATAAAGTACATCTTAGATATGCTCTCAAGTTGTAAATGTCTCAACTGTGACACTAAGCAAGATCTCTTTTCGTCACCTACTGTTGGTCACCAGGTATTTCAAAGTAACACAACTCAGTCCTTGGTTTTCGCTCTGTTTGGAAAAGCACAGCCAGCCTGACATACTTGCCAGTGTTCTTCTAGATCTCTGACTTGCTGTCGAAGTTCCTTCAAACCCATAATGGCTTCCGCCTCTCTCAGCTTCACAGCGATGAGCTCCTCCTGAAGCCTCGCGATGTTATTCTCATCAGGAAACGAGTTGTTCTTCTAAAGTCAGAGAAATTCAGATTTTTTTTTAAAGTCACATTTTTTATAACTTAGTTTTGTATGGCTGTGTGTGCCCACACATACATCTGAGGAGGTTGTAAGCTAACCTGCAGGAGTCAGTTTTCTCCTCCCACCATCTGGGTTCTGGGGACAGAGTTCATCTCTATTGGCATTCTTAAACATGAAAATATGTATGGATTTGTATGAAAGTTACCAGGAAGAACTGGCACTTTTAATTGAAGAAGATGAAAAGATCTCCCATGCTCATGGGTTGATAGGATTAACATAGTAAAAATGGCCGTCCTAGCAAAAGCAATCTACAGATGCAATGCAAGCCCATAAAAATTCCAACACAATTCTTCAAAGTAATTGAAAAATAAATCTTCAATTTTACATGGAAACACAAAATCTCAGAATAGCTAAACAATCCTGAGGAATAAAGAACTGCAGTACTCACACCCCATTTTTAAGTTGTAGCACAGACCTGTAACAATGATCTGATGAAGAGGAAGCAGAACACAGTCCTGTGCTCACTGATACAGGAAAGGGTTTTCTGAACTGGCAGCCTTAAAGTTAGTTTTATTCTGCCTTTCCACTCTCCCTGTAGACAGGGTCTCATATACACACTAGACCGACCTCCAACTCACCATCTAACCAAGGCTGACCTTGTACTGCCACCTCTTCATCCTGAGTGCTGGGATTGCAGGAATTACCATCTGGAGCTGGGCCTAATGCCAGGACCTCACATATTCTAGGCAAGCGCTCTACCATCTACCAACCAGCAAATCTAGTGCATAGCTCCTCGAGTGTGAAAAACATGAGGTCTAACTCAGTTCAGCAAGTACTGCACAAGTATCTGACTCCGGTCAGAGCAGGAAGAGGAGGTATTTACAAAGTTTCCCACCTTCTCTATGTCCAGCACTTTGTCCTGCATCTCCTTCAGGGCGCATTGAGACTCAGCCTCACTCAGCCTGGCTTGGACCAACTCCTTCTCCAGCTGCAGCACGAAATCTTCGTTGTAGGAGGAGCTGCATTTATGCTAAAGGTTATAGACATAGACTGAAACTTTAGGGAAACACAAGCATGGAAATATACACATTCAGAAAAACAATAAAATTATATAATGTGGGTATTATGGGCAACTAAAAAGTAAATCTGATCTACCCAGTATTCCAAATTATTTCCCTTTTCCCAACAAATGAGTTTAAAAAGGAAAGAAAAGCCGAGTTCTGGTATCTTTGAGGATGACCACGTAAATCAGCTCTGGTAATAAGTTATTACACTCCTCAACCCTGCTCATACGAAGTATTTGTCTTCTTTTTGTCCACTCTCAAGAGCTTGTTCTGTCTCTGCAGACAACAGGGTACCCGACAGCCTCACATGGTCACTTAGTAGTTGAGATCCTTGCTGAGTACGGTGATAAACAAAGACAAACTGGTTTTCAGTGCAAGTCCCTTGCGTTCAACCCCCAGCACCACGACCAAAAGTATAAAATTGAATAAGCACATAAAATAAATCAAAATAATTTAAATGATTTTATGGTGATGGCATGTTGAAATATTATTTAAAATTGAGGTGATTATTTAAAATTGAAGTAAACAAAAAACATTAACTTTCCTTTTACTCTTTTCAGTATGGATAATACAGTATCTTAAGACTGCTTAGTTAGCTCACATTAAAGACTACAGAAGCATCTAAAGCCTAAAAATCCTATTTCCATGCATTGAAAGTAAAGATTAAGGTGAAATACCTTAAACCCTAAGAAAGAAAATTTTTATTTGCTTTAGAAATGTCAATTTCTTTAAAATATTTGCATGGATTAGTGTAAGAAGAGAAAAAAGCAATTGCTGCATAAAGAGACAAACCAGAGGCAGGACATCTCCCAGTCCGTCTCTACTCCACTGGTGCTCACACACCAGTGAGGTCATTGTGGTTTCTTAAAGCCCATTCCATATAAAACATCAGTGAATGAGCAAGGCCGAGGGTGTCACCACACACCCTCATTGTGATGTTTAGTTGTATTCAAATGTCCACCTACGGATTCAGAGCTACTTTTTAAAATAATATGTTTTTACTTATTCCCAAGACAAAATATGTACTAATACGCGTAAATAAAAAATAAAATAGTGAGACAGACAGTACATGTGACTGCCACACTCGAGCACCAGGAAGAAATGAAGCTACGAAAGGCAGGGTGCTCCAGAACAGATCTCTGTAACAAAAATGCACTTTCTGATCTCCTCCAGTACATGGCCCCAAACTGCTCCCAGACCATCCCTCCCATTTTGCCCGAAATGGCTGTGTTTTTCCTTTTTGCTTTTGCTTTTAAATCCATCCGGCAAAGTGGCTCCTGCCTGTAACTGAAGCAGCTGGGAAGCGTAAGAGAAGAGAATTAAAAATTCAAAGCTACTCTGGGCTATAGAATGAATCTGGTCACTACGTGCAACTCAGGTATCAAGACAAAGAGTAAAACACAGGCTGGGACGTAGCTATCTGTTAGACCACATGTCCAGCATGCGTGAGATTTACATTCAAATCCCAGTACTATCAAAAAATACCTATCATTTAAATGATTTCTTTCTAATACCTACAAAAATTACATAAATTCTTTAAAATGGAAATTTATCTTGTTATTTTTAATTACTGCTAATGATTAAGAAATGTGAAGAAAACAATATTTTCACTACAGTGACCTCTATTTCTTATTTAAAATGAAAGGCAAACACTATATATAAATATAATACATTTAAACTTTAGATCAAAGCCAAAATTACTTTATTTAAAACATTATTATTTTTAAGTTTACATGTTTGTATGTGTATATTTGTGTGTCTTTAAGAATATATGACACGTGTGTGCATGCCCTCACAGACCACAAGAGGGTATCAATTTTATAACAGGGATGAGAAACTCGAATGTGCTACTGAACATACTTTCTCAAATAAATTATTTAGGAAAATCTGCAATTTCCAATGATAAGTAAAAGACAAGCCTTACACTTTTTAAATTTAAATGAGTATGACATAATCCTTGTACCAACTGCATTAAACCATTAAAGAACATATGAAATATTGAATAAACAAAATCTATGAACCCAGAGTGATACAAAACAGGCTCCAATGAGGGGCTGGGAGGGAAGAAAGAGGTAAAGGAAGAGAGACAGAAATATTATCTCTAGAAGAACACTGCTAAGTGCAGCACAAGTGAGAAGAAATGGAAACCACCACTCTGGAAAATTAATGAAATAACCAACTCTACACAAATCCATGGATGTCCAATCACTGAGATAAAAGACAGACGGAGCCCCCATACAACCCAAGGAAGGAAAGTTTTACAAATCTGTAACTATATTAAACATATCTTCTTTTTTCTTGGTATTATTTTCTAAGCACTATATAACAACTATTTATTTACATTAACTATGCTGAATTGGGCACAAGTTACCTAGAAACTATTTAAAGTATACAGAAGGATGTGTGGAGGGTGTATGCTAATGTAACGCCATGTGAGAACCTGGAGCAGACACGGATTAAGTGTTCTTCCTCGAATCGATCACCCTACAGATACCAAGAGACAGGCTGTAGTTAGCTGTAGTTATCTGGTATAAAGTATTCCCAATAGACTGCTTAACAGTTGCAAAGATGGAGTCACATCTGTACTGCACACATATGTTCAGACCTACACACCTCACACACAGTGCACACAACTAAGAACAAACTCTTGAACTACAACTGTGAGTCTGTTCATTGTCAAACCTCTGTTGGTGGGAATACTGAATGCTATTATCCCTACATACACAGCCTGAAGTGAGAGTTACACCCTACAGAGCTGACATCGCTACTGTGGACAATCCTGATACTACTGATTCTGAAATCTTTGACACAGATGCTCTAAACTTTCCATCCTTAATTTTTCCCATCTTAGTTACTGTTCTATTGCTGTAAAGAGACACCATGACCAAGGTGACTTAAAGAAGAAAGCATTTAGCTGGGGGCTGCTCACAGTTTTAGAGAAGTAGGCAGACATGGCTCTGGAACAGTAACAGAGACAGAGACTGGGCCAGACTGAGGCTTAAATTCTCAAAGCCCACACCCCTAGACTTTCCTCCTCCAACAAGGCCAACCTCCCAAATATTTCCTAAACAGGGATTAAGTGTTGGGGTCATTCTCATCCAAACCACCTCACCACCATTTCAATTAGCACATTGTGCCTAAAACTGTGGGCTGACAGGCTCCATTCTTAACTCCTGAAACTTCAGAGGCAAGAGTCACTCTCAGCTGTCAAGTTACACAAACTTTCAGAGGCCACACATCCCTATTAGCCTGTTCCTTCCAGATCTCTGCAACTGAACCCACCATGTTCACCAAAGAGCCCAACTGCTGTACTTCAGATCCTGAATGTCCCTCAGAGAAAAGGAAATATTCATGAAACCTTTAGGAAATGGGTGTGTTGTGGAATTGTTACTTGAAGTCTGTTACATTTGTTTATGCTGTGGAACATTTGTTTTAATGACACAAAGATGTCTGCATTCGCCGGGCGATGGTGGCGCACTCCTTTAATCCCAGCACTCGGGAGGCAGGGGCAGGCGGATCTCTGTGAGTTTGAGACCAGCCTGGTCTACAAAGCTAGTTCCAGGACAGGCTCCAAAGCCACAGAGAAACCCTGTCTCGAAAAAACCAAAAAAAAAAAAAAAAAAAAAAAGATGTCTGCATTCTTTTATGTTACATTTGTTTTACGCTGCAAAGCTGTGTTACTTGAGCTGTCTAAAGCACCTAACTGGTCTAATAAAGCGCTGAACAGCCAATAGCAAGGCAGGGAAAGGGTAGGCGGGGCTGGCAGGCAGAGAGAATAAATAGGAGGAGAAATAGGGAGGAGATTGAGAAGAGAGAAAAGAAGGGGTCAGTCACCCAGTCACATAGCCAGACACCAAATAAGAAGGAAAGAAGAGAAATACAGAACTAGAGAAAGGTAAAAGCCCAGAGGCAAAAGGTAGACAAGGAATTTAAGAAAAGCTGGCAAGAAACAAGCCAAGCTAAGACCAGGCAGTCATAAGAAAGAATAAAATTCCATGTGGATTTATTTGGGAGCTGGGTGGTGGGCCCCCAAAAGAACAAAGAGTAAAAAACAACCAACAAGAAGGATATGGGGGGGGGGGGGGGCGTGTGCCCTTGAAAGAGACACTGAGTCTCTCTGCTTCCTGGCTGCCATGAGGAGCAAGCTTCCTACACCATCTCATTGGGATATGAAAGTTGCCACTGGTCCAGGAAACAGGTCCAGTGAACAAACCGTGACCCAAATCAATTCCTCCACCTGCTGTCACAGGAGCCTGAAATTTGGATAGTACATCCACTGATGTAGGATTCCCCCCTGTATGCTATGAATATGCTTTACTCCCGTTGGTTAATAAAGGATCTGCTTTCGGCCAATGGCTTAGCAGAGTAAAGCCAAGCAGGAAATCCAAACAGAGCATAGAGAGAGAGAAGTAGGAGTAAGGGAGAGCCATGGTAGCCACTGCAGAAGACCTAGTCGAAACTTTACCAGTAGGCCACAACCTTACAGTAAAATATAAAATAATAGAAATGAGTTAATTTACTTTATAAAAGCTAGCTAGACATATGCTTAAGCTATTGGCCAAACAGTATTGCAATTAATATAGTTTCTGTGTGATTATTTCGGATCTGGGCGGCCAGGGACAAACAAGCAGTCTCTGCCTACACATCCACCATATTCCTAAGTATGGGAACATAAAATTTCTCCTCTTGCACAACAAATAGAATTGGCCTACTCAAATATCATATCCTGAAATTACATAAAAGTTTGGCTGTGAATAATAACCCCTATATAACCACCATATGCCAAAGACGCTCTCTCCTCATCAATAAGTGAAAATCCAGGTACTGCAGGTTCTTACTGTCCCA